TTGGGAAAATTGGTAAGTGGAAATCTCTTCGGACCAAGTGCTGAAGCTGCACTTGAGCGCCCAAAGCAAACTAAGGCTGCTTTGGTAAAGCCTATTCGTGTTCTCCATGGACTTTAGGTCGTAGCGTGAGAGTACACTGAGGTCTCACATGAAAGACACGGGATGCAACGGTTGACGGGTCATCGGGTAGGTTTGACTGTGCGCACGCTTACCCATCCTCATAGATTGCGACTTGGCCAGGTTGATCAGAAGGTTGACCTCTGCAGACCACGTGGAGAGGCGGTCGAGGTCCTGCTGAAGCAGGTCACAATGGTTGGGTGTGCGGATTACTCCCCCCACCTTCAAAACATCTGCGAACAACGCACAAGGTGAATGGAGTAGCTGTGGCACATCGTTTACATGGATCTGAAAGAAAATTGGCCCCAGTACAGTGACTTGAGGCAAGCCACTGATCGATGGATACCAGTCGGTCAAATGCTTATCGGTCAGGACCCTCCACTTTCGATCAATAAGGAAATTCTTGATCCATCGATGAAGCGAGCCGCCAGCACCGCACATCCTCATCCTGTCGAGGAGCACTGCATGATTTACCTTGTCAAAAGCTTTACTGAAGTCAATATAATTAAGGTCGACCGACTTGCCTTGGTTCAACGCTTGCAACCATTTGTGACTCGTCAACAGTAAGTTGGTGATGCACGATCGACCTTTCACGAAACTATGCTGTGCAGGCGTCAAGAGCCTTTTCGATTCGAGAAGCTGCAGAAGACTCTACTTCACGAATTTTCTCATATGCTTTTGCCACAACAGCGGTCAGGCAGATTGGCCGGTAGTTCTCTGCTTTGCTTGGGTTACCACGTTTTGGTATTGGCTTTGCGACTAAGCATTTCCAGCCGTCCGGTAATAGTCCAGTAAATAGCGACCTGTAGAACAGCTAAGTTACTGAAGGCGAGATGATAGCCGTTACGGACTTGAAGATCAGTGGTTGGCTTCCATCTGGTCCGGCAGGCTTCGTCCTATCAAGGCTTGGCAGTTGCCTGTGTACATCTTCAACGCTGCAATCCAGAATGTCTAGTTCAGGGGGAGCGGTACTCGTCGAACTCGTTACAGACACCTGGTCACTTCTAAATACTGCGGCAAAGTGCGCCGCCAATGCTGACGCACGATCTGTGCTCGAGGTTAGGGGAAGTCCATCTGAGCCTTCCAAAACTGGCATATTGTCAGCAGGCCTTAGGCGCTGCTTCAAGTAGGTAAAGCTCCTCTCGGGAGCAGTTTCGCCGCCATTGCAAGCTGCTATTTGAAGCTTCTGCGCTTCGTTGTTTTCGCGTTATTGCAGAGATTTCGCTTAACCTTGTACACCTTGTAGCCCCAATCAGAATCAGATGACACGAACTTGTCGTCGTCGGCCCAGTTTACTGTACTCGTTGTCGAACCAATCTGGTTTGACTAGCTCAACTTTCCGATATTTGAGGGGTACAAATCGGGCGCACAGCCATTTTACTCCTTATTTAATGATAGTAAAAACTGGTTTCAACATACGACTCCTCTGGTAATGACCAGTCCATCTGGCTCGCTGCTCGAGTGAGGCCATTAAAGTCCGCTTTCTAGTAGTTGAAGGCTGGCTCCCGCGGGGGATAATACGGCAGCGGCAGTTCCAAGCTGGCTATGATCATCGAGTGGTCACTCACTCCCAGGGGCTCCAAGACTTGAAGGTCATGTTCACCTTGCTCACAGCTGGTTAAAAGCAGGTCTAAGCACAATGGAGTCGTGCGTGCAGTTATGCGTGTCGGTTGGTTGATGTGCTGTGTGGCCCCGGTTTCGAATATCAACTCCGTAAACTTCCGCTCGACTTCGCAATGACAGAGGAGAAGTTCAGCCTTGGGCCACTATATGCGGGCTAAGTTGAAACCGCCTATGAGTAGGAACAGCTGACGACTCATGTGGTTTCGGACATGCGGCAACCACTCCAAGCAGCGGCTCAGTGGACTGCGATATACCACGAGCATGTCGCAGCGTCTGAGGTGAATCGATCACCATAACTGCTCACATAGACCATTAGCGATTCGGTAGGCACTCGCCAGTCTCCCACACAAGGAGGACTTTATGTGAATCAGAACGTCACCGCGATCATTTGTTGGTCTATCACAGCAGAAGGACGAGTTGCCGCTTCTTGGGCAGTTACGTTGGAGTTTAACCATGTCTCAGCAAGGCCTCTTACGTCTGCCTGCTGAGAGGTTACAAAGTAGTACAGCTCATCGCGTTTGGTCATCAGACTGCAGACGTTAGTAAAGGCTACGCGCAGATCGCGGTAGGAACCGCTGGGCGATCCTGACGCATTACAAACCTGTTAATCTGGATTCGAGGAGGAATTCGGCTGACTACCCAAAAATACAGTAGGGAGATTTGTTTCTCCATCGTCCATGCGTCGCTTTATTTCACTCACCGCAGATTTAAGTTTCTCTCTGTCTGCTGGGTCCAAATCAGCGCCCACGTGGATCTTTAGACTTTTCAACCTATTAACGCGGGATAATATTAACTTAGGACTTGCCTCTTCGACAAAGTCATCCTCATAGGTAGACTTTTGTCCCCGGTTCTCTTTCCGAGAAGGGTGATCTGTTTCAATTTGAGCCCGCCCTCATCCACGTCGAGCAGACTATTAATCCGTTTTTGCAAAAACGCAACATCATGTTCATAGCGCACCTGAGGATTGGAATCACATGATTCAGGTGCGTGCAAGACCCTGAGGCTGCGGCGCCTCAGGTCGTTGGACATTGTTATTGTTTCTTTGGTATTTGCATTTTCCTTTCGTTGTCACCAATTTGCTTATTACAAATTAGAGCTTTAGTGTCAACTGAAGAAATTGTAGACCTTAAAGCCGTACCTGCCGGAGCGCTAGCACTTTGCTCCAGGGATAGATTCGCTGTCCTACTAAGCGCTAACTGTTTTTCTGATTGTGCTGCAGGACAAATCGTGCTGCGCGTTTTTAGCGCACTGCGCTCTACTGATCCGCCTGTCAGGCTTTTCGGCTCCGGTCTGCCCACGTTTAGACTGACATCGTTTACAAATGGTCTATAAAAGGCCGTGCTGAATGCCTTGAAGTACTCGAAATTGGTCCACAGACAGACCAATACACGAAATATGAAACTTTACGCTGCATAAACTGCGTGTAATCGCATTTGCTCGATGCCCAACGCGATTGGAGCAAATAACACAAAGTGTCTGCTTTGCCATTTCAAAAATAGGCACCGATCGATACGACTAAACCAGCGTAACATAGAGTCATTGAAAATATAATAAACTAGTACAGGTAGTCATGACGAAGTAATTCAAAATAACTAATGTGAGTGAATTGCAAACTATTTAGAGCATAAAACGAATATAGCAATGAAGAGAACTAGGATAACTGTCCTGAAGAGGAAAGGAGCAAAATACGACCGGAATTATTGCAGAAAACAGCTTAAAATATAATATTGGATAATTCAGAAGCACAAATAACACCAAATTAAACAAAAAAAGAAAAAAAAATAAAGATATATGATGCAGAAAACCTAAACAAACCGGTCGGGAAGCGGAGCAATAGGTTACAAGCCGGCCGCCGTGGCCTTGTCCACCATGATGATGCTCATGATGCAGACAATGAGGACGATGGTGATGATGATGATGACGATGATGATGATGAGAACTGAGAACTGAGAACTGGTGCGAAGCAGCGAGTAGAGGTTGCTCTGCGTAGCTGCATCATTCGTCGTTTTCGGACATGAACTCTTTATTCATCGTTTCGCTCTCTGTACTTTGCCTCTGCAAATTGTTGGTCTAGTAGCATATTGAATTTAGACACTGTGTTGGCTTCTACTATTTGCTGAGGCAGGTCGTTCCAGACATTCACCACTCTGCGTTCGAAACAGAGTTGATGGGCGACCTGCTTAATAAAAATATGGAACGCTTCACGATTTTGCGTGTCCTCCTTGCGCAGGGGCCATGCTAATCTTCTCTGTATCGTTGCAATTTTAGTATATGTACCGCCGAAGCGAGTACAATGATAATGCTAATGATGATGATGAAGATGATGATGAGGAGGAGGAGGAGGAGGATGATGAGGATGAGGATGATTATGATGATGATGATGATGATGATGATGATGATGATGATGATGATGATGATGATGATGATAATGATGATGATGATGATGATGATGATGTTGATGTTGTTGATGATGATGTGGAGGAGGAGGAGGATGTTAAAGATGATGATGCTGCTGATGATGATGATGATGATGATGATGATGATGATGATGATGAAGATGATGATGATAGAAATCGGTCTTTATTCCCCGTATTCCGAACTTTTGAATGTTCAGGGAGTTCTAAGCTTGTTTCGAGATATTGATTCTACAAGTTATCTACGTGGGATATCTATTGCGTTGTTGGATTACTCACATCTTTTCACACTCTGTATCTATCGCTCCAGCATTTAGTTTATGCGTTGACTGTGACCGCAGTGTTCCCTTGTGGAATACTATGCCGCATCCAGTCACATGATCCCTTCAGTGGGCGGGAACTGATGGGGCTGACAAATTATTTCCTTTCTGCTCTCTTCAAGGCAGTGAACCAATAATAATCTACGTGTTTTCCAAGGGTACAGTCAAAAATTCTTTGCCTCCGTATCAGTAGACCTCGACCACTTTTGTTACTAAATTGCGTCCAGCCCTTACCTACAGGGAATTTCCATTCTTAGGATGTCCTTGAAGACACTGCATCAAAATACCAGTGATGGACAAGTCATTTCCATCAGCCTACAGTAGCAACTGCACTAAGTCAAAATGAACAAAAATCCTACCGTAATTTATTACAAAGTCGCATCGAATTATGCGACCATACATTGTTTAAACTAACTGTTTCAGTCATCTCTTCACACAATCTAGACTGTCTTTGTGTGTTTTGTCATCCGCTTTGCTTGTTAGCTGAACAAAATTCCCAGTTGTTCCTTTCTGTTTTATTTCATAGATTGGATTGTTGAAGCAGATCAACGTAGTCGCTCATGCTGAACTTGCCACCTTACTTGAAGGGGATGAGACAATTTCTGAGTTTGCAAGGCTATCACCAGAAGATATCCTAATAAGATGGGTTAATTATCATCTCAAGGGGACAGAAAGTGGTACCAGAATGCACAACTTCACAGCCGATGTTCGCGTAAGTTCACAGAGGTTTTATGACTGTTGGACTATCCTGGATATCATCAATTTATTGTAGGAGAAGAAAAAGCCTGCGATTCCGTATTTAATGAAATCTGCATGCAGACAGCCATTGACTTATAACACGTAACATGGTTAACGAAAGATATACAGGCATACCGACGGGCTCAAAATACACTTGGCAGCCGGTTGACGTGTAGCAGCCGAAACACTACAGGTATTCGCCTAGTATTTTCAAATCACAACCATAAGCGACATTGATGGCGGAGTGTCAGTAATAACTCGGATATCTGATGTTTGTCCAGGATTTGCGTACGACAAATTGCACAGTGAGAACCAGTTGTATGCTTTTATCTAATCATTAAGGTTACATATAAATGAAATAAATCGAGGTTCTTCTGACCTTCTCCTCCGTTGTCTTAGCACCGAAGCTATTGCCTCTACAACAATGGATCGTTAGCATGGAGCCATGATAGTGGGCTCGAGGCTGCGAAACATTTCGCTTGTTAATTTCTGGTGAATTTCACCAGGCAGATACCATGCAATAGCATTACATTGTCTTACAATTTGTGGATCATCCAAATAGGTTGCTTAATACTGTTTAGGTGTGTCTAAATAACCTCATCGGGGACCGTAAGAAAATAGGTTACTATCGCATTATGTTATAAAAGCGGCCATTCAATAAATTCTAAAGTTGTAGTGAAAATAAGCTTCCCTAATTGTGCTGACCTCTTGGTTGCGCTAAATGCCAAGTCTGGTAACTTATCTCGTCGATTTGAAGTTTTACTCATTGGGGTTTGTTTACTTACTCAAACATCCAACAGTGTGGATTTACTTGCTGCTCTACTGTGCGAGTCAGCAAGTGCAGGTCCACGTGCGTGTCTAGCTTATTTCACAACCAGGAAAGCAGATATCTATTGAATCAAGTTTGAACACATGACCAGGTCAACGAACTTAACTTCCATATGCTATTTTCGGAAGTATCCAACTTCTAGCATTTGTTCGGTTATGTAGTGTTACTTATGTCCCTCCAGTCTATCCCCACAATAGTCCTTCTACTAAGTTTGCTAATTCTTCAGTAGCATTGCATCCAGGACAAAACGACAATGCAAACAAATCGGAAGGTGGTTGTGATGAGCCGGACTTGCAGCTTTTTGCTTCATCTGCCGAGGCTGAATGATATTGGTGGATTTATGCTAATACGACTGACCCGCTTTGAGAAAGAGGCTGCGATACCTCATGGCTGAAACCCGCCCTGCAAGTCAGATGGACTGCGGAGTGAATGCTAATTTGTCATCGATCCTTGCTGTGCCTCACAATGCCGAAGGACTTTCACACCGCGCTTCTTACTGGCTGATTTGCATTCCTCTTGTGAATATTGGTTGCAGCATGGAGTGAGCTCTACTTCCTAGTGAATATAAAGGACTGATACACAGTCACATGAGAAACGAAGGTTTTTGTTGCATATTGGGTTAACAACGGAGAGCAAGCTTAGTGGTGTTAGAATACTCGAAGCACGCTACCCCGGATGGGGTTCAAAGAATAAGAGAGATTGTGTGCACATTTTCGTCCAAAACAAATTCGCTTTATATTAAAAAGCTTTTTCTTAATGTCCTCAAGCACGTGCACATGAAAGCTAAAACACGCCACTTTAGAATGTAACAGACACGCGTCGAAACTTTACCACACAATCAAGGCGAGGAAAACTGCAGTTAGGTCTACTGACGTGTGGTCAACTTGGCTAATGTTATACTGACACTGAAATGAGTGCTTTGCTTCTACTGTTTCGAACAATCCACTAGGTGAACGTCATACAAACTGAGCACTCCACACATTATCCGTAGTTGTGTCAGATATTTTAAACCACATCCAAGTGTTGCTAAACGGTTCTGTGGCTAATCGTATCGCAGCTCTTTGCTAACATAAAATTTTCCCCAATACTGAGAGACTTCAAAGGTTCTGGTCCACGATGCGATACGCATAACATCAGACGACGTGTGGACGATTTGCTGCCCACGCTGTGTATCAAACTGTCACCTATTCACTTCTCGAAGAGCGTGTACGTCCACGGACATACCATTGCATTGATGAACAAGCGTGGAGATCCGTCATTCAAGGTGGTGCTTTTTTGTTCCTTACCACTAGTACCACAATCGCCACCGCATTGAACTGGAAGATCGCGTTTTTCGCATTTTATTACTGTAAAGCTATCAAGTCAGTATTCTACGCTATTCTTTAAGTGCTTTAAAGGTAACAAACTAGTGCTTAAATCCCATCTTCGCTTGATATTTGTTTGCATTTCTATTGTCTCCGTGTTTCATGAAGAAGATTTGGTACAACATTTCGTATTTCGGTTAGCAGTACAGATGCAGTAAATACATCTCGGTTAAACTGCTTCGCCATAGTGAGTAATCCTATGTAAACAAGTTAAATAAATAAGTAAATAAAGGATTTGTTCTCGACGGTGCAAGACACGCCTCCTTAAGCATGATCATGGTAATAGAAACGCGTAACATCAGTAATGGTACAGAACTGTTACGATTTAACCAGTAGATACTTGATACATGTGCTTATCTATGTGTAGTAGGTATGTGGGTGCATGTGTAAGTTATGGTGTTGCGGGAATTTGTTATTAATGCTGTGAATTTGCAAGCGTGTTGTTCGAATGTGCCAATATAGGAAAGGATCCCATGAAATCTTTCATGTGTTTGACGTTCGCGAAATGTGTAAGATCCCCCGGTCTGGCAAGGCAGTGACTTTATTTAGTGGCGAGTCATATCCGCTCCGTCACAGTGTTTTTAAGCAGACATTTGTGGCTTTTATAGGGTGAATGCTTGTCAGGCGAAAACCCGCTACGTCCTGGAACACTGCCGCCGAACTACTAGTTGGACCGGGATTAACCCGAACCACCCGGCTGGCACCACGAGGAGGTTGTTCGGCCAACTTACTTCTGCATACATCAGCTGATTTTATTTTCAGTATAGTAGCGTACTGATTAAGGTCTGGTCTAAAAGTCCGGTGAGTCGAACATGAGCATACACTGTTCCTTCTTCCAGCTGAGTTACTGTAGATAGTCGCCCACAACTGAAATTAACATTGCGCATGCGGACACTTCAGTTTTCATGAGTGTGCTGTTCATCAGTACGTGCTAAGTTTTAAAACCAGAAACCGAGCAGTTTGGTTGTAAAAAAACATGTAAATTCCTGTTTGGGGGATTTTCTCAGGCACAATGTTTACTTTGAGAACACGCACAGCACAGCTTTTCCATTAAGGTTTAATACAACCTGTGGTAACGTGTTCAGATGTTTTTATGTTATACTATCTCAGAACTTTAGCACCATCATTGATGAGTTAAAACCGGAACAGTGATTGAACGCAATATGGATGACATCTGGGGAACGACTACGAACGATTGCTTATACTGCACCGCTCCTGAAGAACTTAAGGTATAGATATATTGTAATGCAATGAGGTTGAACCTTAGCGTGGTGCGATGGTTTGCGTGCTTCAGAGATCCATTGAGCTATGCTGGGTGGTGCTTTCTTGCACCTTCAGAGCCACTCATACCAGATTGGTTAATGGGTACAAGCCAGACAAATTCAACCTCCTGGTCCCCCAGGTTGGGGTTGGAATGAGGGTGTCACTTTATTACTTAAAACGGGCTCCTTGTATCCCAACGCCAAACCCGCTGCCTTGCGGTCAGGTTTTTGAACCAAAGACATTGGTTGAGAACCCTAATCGTTCTCCTGTCTAAGCCTGGGCAACCTGACAGTATCCTGCCCACGTGATACTATGAACCTTTCGTCAAACAATTTGCTGATGCTCTGGCCACCACAGAGGATAAGCAACGGTGCCCTATCTGCTGCATCGAGCAGGGTGGATAGAGGTTTGGATGCCACTGCTCACGCCTTCCCATCTTCTTATTCCCCCTCTTACATGTTTTCACTCTTACCGTCCCGTGCCAGCTTCCCTTTTATCCCCCTGTTTTCAACCCCCCAATTATTGCCGCTTCCCCACATTGCTTCGTTAGTCTTTTGCTTTCTAGTTTCAACTCACATATGAACGCGGAGCGTCATTCCTGCCCTGTAGATAAGCCCATGTCAAAGCACGCGGCCAAGCTCAGTTCATCGAGTTTCATCTGGAGCCCTCGCTCATCCACCAGATTGGCATGCCTCAATGTACACCCATTGCTACAGATCGGTCAACAAGCAGCACTTTCCCAAACATTAGAGACCTTCTTTACCGATATCCGCTGCTTATCGGAGAATGGCCTGCAAGACTCGAGTTCATTGCTCACTTTGCGATCCCCTCAGGTGACATCAGAAGCACTTTCTGATTACGCCTATCCGGTGATGACGCAACTTCGAGCACCGGCCAAGCCGGTGTTGCTGTTGCTCTGAGGACCCGGGCTGAAGCTGCTCTGGTTGATTGGATCCCAATCAGTAGCCAGATGTGTGCGATCCGATCGGCTGGCTCGTTCAAAGCTTCGAAGTCGCGTGGGACTAACATGTGTCTATTCGTCATCGCTGCCTATGCGCCCACAAACTCAAGCGATGATTCGGTAAAAGATGACATCTACCGCCAACTGAACGAACTCCTTCACCACAGAAGTAGCTCGGACACTGTACTGCTGGCTGGGGAGCTGCACGCTCAAGTTGAAAACTTAGCAGCTGATGAATTGCATCTGGGCGGCCAACATGGTGTAGGCTCCCGTAATGATAACTGTGAGTTGTTACTTCATTTGTGTGAAGATGCCTGCTTATTTCTTGCAAACACTAATTTCCGACACAGCACTCGCCAGAGGGTGACTTGGCACCCACCAGCCTCGAACCAGCCATGGATGCAAATCGATCACACTGCGATAAGTTACCGATGGAGAGGCTGCGTCCAGAACTGTCGCTCGATTTGGTGCAGTGTGGACACAAACCATGCACTTGTACGTGCTGACATGCGGATGCCATTTTGTGGACGCCCACGACGACGCTGTGAGCGCATTGG